CATAAATCCCCATGCCCTTCCAAATCGAAGCCTGGCACTTCTCCATCTTGTTGAGCCAAGCGTTGTATTCTGGTGTAAGGTTAGGGCTAGACCTAAAAGCCCTAACCCCCCTGTTAAAGAACCGAAGATCTATTTTCTCTTTTGCAGGATCTTCGGTATCGTCTGTCGCTTTCTTGGAGCACCCAATGGGCTTGAGTGCCTCATGCACGGGGAAGAAACCCTCAATTTTCGTTGGGTCAGCAATGCATGCAGATAGAGGACCGGACATGGCGAAAACCTGGTTGGAATATCCAACAAGAATCAGCAGTTGAGAAGAATAAGTTTCACGCTCAGCATCTCCCATGGGTTCAGGAACCCTTCGCATTCCCATGGAGTTAACTATCGGAGCGGTTGAAAAGATTTCCGGTTGAGTAGTTTTAGAGGGAGTGCTAGATCTGGGGACATTGGAAGAACGAGAACGTGAAGCCATTTTTTGGTTTGAGATGAAGATGGATGAAGAACAAAGGTTTCTGGGTTTGGAGAGGAAGAAGCAAAGGTTTGCTTGCAGGAAGTTTTGTTCGACTTAAGGCTTGGATGAAGGAAAGCGTAAAGAGTCCAACAAGGGGCACTTAGTGCTATTTATAGTGATTGAAAAATCACAAGACTCGAGGTCATTTAATGTCTCAGACAATAGTGGGGCACGTGGCGCTCATTTGGTGATGTAGCCGTTCTGAAGAACGGAAACGGTGCAACGTGCATCCTCGATTTCGAGAAATAGTCATGATGACAATATGTGAAAGGACATCGGGCGTGCCAAACGCCTTACTGAAGTGACATCTTGGGAACAGGTGAAATGATGACTTTTTGAGATTGTCAGTTGGTTGGTAGGAGACGAAAAGCACACAAACTAATTTGTGGTTGAGAGTGAAGGACAGGTGTCGAATGGAATCTCATTGAATGCCTTTTTCTTTTCAGCATCGAAATAAGACATTCTTGGGGGGCAATTTGTTGGCTCCAAAATTCGACACCCTTGTTTGTTATCATATAGACCATTAATTATGAGTCAGAAGAGTTTCCTACATAAGAAGGCTTCGTCCAGCTGATCATGTCGAAGGCTCATCAAAGAATGACAAGATACTTAGAGAAATTCCTTTAAGTGGGAATCTTGTTGTCTTCGACGTCGAAGGAACCTCTCGACAAAGGTACCTGATGCCCAAGGTCGAACGGTTTGAGATTTGAATTGTTGGAGGGAAAACGGTTCCCAGCAGTTACCAAGTGCAACGTGTTGAGAAGAGGAGCGTCGAAGGCTGTGAGCGTGCCATGTGGCGTCATTTCGAAGCAGCGTAACTGCCCAGCGGTTACTTAGGATTTGTTTTAGTATAAATACTAGTTGTTCACGTAGTTTTCGCGTGTGTTCATCATCTTATACAAGTCACTCATTTAGATTCAAGTACCCAGCGTGAGAGAAAGAATCATTGAGAATGTATGTGTGAAACACCATTTAAATTAATCAAAGTCTTTTATATTCAAGCAATTTATCGCTTTTCATTTACTTATCTCCGTCGAAGCCTTTTACTTAACGCTTTTATTTATTCTATCAAGCTTTTCTTCATGCAATTTACTTAAAGTGTCTTTACTTTACTGGCATTAATCACCATTAGGATTAGTCAAACTCCAAAAAATCAACCATGTCTTAGGATCAATCTGATCGATCCTGCTAGTCACCAAATAAGTAACCTTTTGGAAGATCAGCGGTTGTTTACCAATTTCCACGGTAAACAGAATGAAACATGATTGTGTTTACACACAAAACGACCATCAAGACATAAACATCGTATAAAACCTAGTCGGGCAGGCTGACCTGCTATGATACCACTAATGTAACACCATTCTAACTCCATAACTATTTCTTATATGATTTACGATTTAAATCAAATAAAATCATCGCTCAAGGTGTCACACTTAATGGAAAACATCATATTAACAATCCTGCCCCATTCCAATTTCGATTACAATATCAAACTCAATCTAAAATGCATAACAATCATCATATATCACACATTGATATCAAAATGCATCATCACATTATATTTGACACAAATCATAACATACAAACATTATAAATCAATAATTTCATCATATTTTTCATCAAATCAATCACATAGGACATAACCTACATCTACCTTAACCTCATATCAATTATAATAAATTGAGATTACATCTTTTACTTTAATTCGTAGCAATTGATTCTCTTTCTTCACGCTTTACGGAGTTCTCCTATCGATTCTCTGTAAGTCCCAGCTCTTCTTCGTGTTCTTCCAAATTCTCAATCATACAGAATGAATCATACCTCTCTCAATTTTCTCTTTTTACCCCTAGGACCCTTTCTATGTTATTCCCCTTATGCCCTCACTTATCATCATATATTACCACTATGCCCTTATTCTTCCTTATTCATCTTAATATACTATTTAATTATAATTATAAATCTAAATAAATAAACTAAATTATTTAAATCTAAATCATTCTAATTGTCACCTTTATTCTCACTCACTACCTATAACACATCATCATACATCACACGGATAATTACCAATAATTCACCAATAATCAATTAAATAAATAATTCTAACTCTGGAGTGTCACATCTAACCTATAATTTCTTATTTCTATGACATCTCTGCATTACTCTCCCCACCCTTGGCGTAACATTATGCCTTCACTATTCTTATTTTATTGAATTAATAGAATTATGGGCGTGGGACTCATTTAAGTGTATGCCTTTCAATCCATTCTAGAATTCTCATATAAATGTCTATTGGTTAGAATTTACCACTCTGATGGTGGTATCAATGAAACATGCTAAATATTCACACAATGACTCGGAGTGTCCCTGTCTCATAGTAAAGAGACTTGTGGTGGACACCTTGCAATGTTTACTGGTGGAGAACTAATGGATTAGTTTTCTAGATAAGTCCTAGTAACTGATCGCATAGAATTTGAGAATATTCTCATTCCAACGCAAGGTGGCCTCCTGCAAGATTTCAGAGAGGAGCTTGCATTTGAGATAGTTAGACGCACTTATGATTTGTGTGTTGAAGGCAGTGATGTGCTCTTAATGATCGGTTGAAAGGGGTTTAATAACATTTAACCTCTAAACATCCCTTACTATATGTCGTCTTATTGTTATTGTTGGATCGTCTATATAGTTATTTGCATGGTTTTGTTTTGGTGATGCATTTATTCTATAGCAGAGCAACCTACATTTCTGTTAGGGCTTCCTGATATCTAGAGGACTGTAAAACGAGTGTTGCCATATTGTTAAACGGCTTACAATTGAGCAAAACTTTTGTCGAGAGGGTGCAATCCAAGAATGTTTTATCGGATCCCACAATGTGTGTCATTTTACTTACAGCTTGCAGCAAGTACAACAATAGTAACACTATCGGAGAATATACCAATTAAGAGGTTTTTATTCTTTTAGACCTAGTGAAACATTCAGGATCTTAAAGACTCCTTGCACATATTTGGTCAGCCTAACCCCCACTCTGTTAAGGATCAAGGCAGGTGACAAATTATTCAATCGGGGAGTTTTCTAATAGCAAACCCTCCAAGATAGTTAAGAAGAGTTAAAGTATACCACTTAACCATATGCATGGGCCTACCACTATCTCCTTCCGTAGAGTAAAACATTTTTGTAATTTTTATATTTCATTAAGTCAATTCTTAGAAAGTGAGATAGTCATCTCGAAGTATACACAATAATTAGCTTGGGTGACACACTTGAGAGAGTGTGTTGCCATGCAAAAGAAATACTTCGCTCTATTGGCTATGTAATCTGACAAAAAAATAATTGGATGCGGCAAAGAGCTGAAGGCTTATAGTTCTATTGGCTTGTAACAATTTTCATGTTGTTTTAAAATAAGTTAAGATTTTTATTGGTACATAGAGAACAAGCTAAGAATAGTACAATAAAAAATAATATTTACCAATACCATGTGAGCATGTAGTTTGGCACAAAATATTTGTTTTATGAGTAATTTGACTTGAGTATACTCTATTTTTCAGATTAGCAGCAATACCAAGACTAGACCTACTAACAAAGGAGTGTTATATTTGAACACAAATCATATGCAGTTGCCATGGATAGAAGATTATATGGTAATCAATAAGATAACAGCAAATGTTCAGAACTTCAAAAGAGTAAAGGACTGTTTGCTTATAGTTTTCTCAGACCACTTAAGAACAGAAAAAAGCAATTAAGACAGCTACTCTAACCAGTAATCAATACAATAATCAAGTTGCATCAGGCCATTCCTGGAGAGTTAAAGAAACAAAAGACTAAATCATATCAAAAGGATCATGAGGTTTCAATGCTCCTGACTTGCAGTTACAAAAATATTAGCTAGTTAACAAATTCCACAGTTAAATGCATGTCCACCCATTCTTCTAAATGTCATTATGAACACTAAATATCTTCAATAAAGATAGTTTACAGAACTAACATTATTACTATTGACCAAATCTTTTCTAACTACAACATAGTTAAATTTGCAAGGTGCGTGTGGTTAGCATCATGTTACAATTGGCAATTTACATATTTCATCAAGCCTTATCGGTACTATCTCAAGTCAAACCAAAACTAAAAGATTGGTAACATGGCAATATCAAATGGTGAGTAACATATCACTGAATCAAAAAGGTATGAGTTATGAAACTATTCAATCCAACTAGTACATAACGAAATGTGAGAAATGTTTCTGCACTATGGCTCCTTTTGACACATTCCAAAAAACCATCACGAAACCATCCATTATCATCCATGTAAATAAATCTATAACATTATCAAAAGACTTGTAATCATCAAAAAGAATATAACTATGAAATGCTCAAGAGGCAGTATTTACAATACCGCATCCACACTAATTAACTAAGAGTGGAAGCTGAAAAATTGCATACATCTTGAAACATCATGAATCAGTATACCTTTCCCCCACCAATTAAGAAGAATCTGAACTGAACTAACTACTAATTTTCTTTGCCATGGCAGCCAATGTCATCCTCATCGCCAAAGCCTCCTCCGTTACACGATGATCCTCCAATACACAAGGTTCTCCATTTTTTTGTTCAAAATCACAAACCAAAGCAGAGAAATCCTCCCTCATCAACAAACTATTATGAAGAATCGAACAAGCACCGATATAAGCTACAGCCATTTTTATCTCCTCGCGAATCGGTCGACTCAGAACACCCCATTTCCTCAAACTAGCATCCGTTCTGAAAGCCGGAATCTGCATCAGTTCATGAGCAGCATTGAAACTCTCTTCAACAGAACCAGAAACAGTTGCATTCTCATTATCAGCAAAAGGTACCATGAGCCAAGGAAGTAGAGGATATGCGGAATCACCAATGAAATACTGATTAACACCGTCGAGCGGTGAATCATTCAAAAGCATTCGGTCGTCTATGTCATTAAACAAACTCGAAGCTTTGAGAATGACATAGTCCGTCTTGTGACCAAAAAAACCAGCGGCAATGCTGAGAATTCGACACGTGGAATCAACAACTATTTGAGCTGCAATTGAGGAATGTTGCTGTTGCTGTTGCGGTTGGGACACTGATGATGGGGAGATTTGGAAGCGAGAGCAGAAAATGACGCCGGAGCAATTAGGCAAACCGGAGAGAGATTGGAAATTGTGGGAGACGGAGCGAAGGTCGTTTGCGTTTGGGAAAGAAAGCCAGAATCGGAAATTGGTACAGAGGACTCTACAGAGTTGTTTAACGCAGAATTTAGCTACGGAGACTGGGACGTTGAATTGAGATGAAATTTGGGAGTAATCGGAGCCGTTGGCGAGACGGGAGAGACCGATACCGAGACGGAGGCCGGCGGAGAGGTTGAGAGGGAAGAGATAAGCAGGGTCACGGCATTCGAGGAGCGGTTCGAGTAAACCGGTGAGCCATTCGAATGTGGAGGAGGACATGAGGAAGGAGATGGGGAACCAATCAGGGTTAGGGGTGGGGCGGTGGTTGTGGTGGTTTTTAGGGCGTTTGCGCTTGCGGGAGAGGAGGGTGGTGGTGACGGCGGTTTGTTGGGAGAAGAGGAAGTGGTGGATGAGAGAGAAAGTGGTGGAATTGGAATTGGAATTGGAATTGGAATTGGGAGTGGAATTGAGGTGGAGGGAATTGGGAGGGAAAATGAGGAGAATGACGAGGAGGAGTTGGGAAATTAGGGAGGAAAGTAACGCAGCCAATTTGCGAGATTCCATGGGAGAGAGGAAAGGAACGGAAATCAAGGTTAGGGTAAAAAGGTTGAGAGAGTAAGAGACAGATATACTGACTTATTCAGTAGAATACTGCTGCCCTTTCATTCCTACTATCAATAAACCTTCCATTTCGGCGCCGTTCTGTCTTTTCGAACCTTCTATTCTTTTCATGCCCAATTTATTTACCCTTTTAATGCTATCAAAAATCTTTATATTCATTGGATCAAAACTATATTAATGTAAAGATTTTTTCTTAATCTCGGATTATTCTCGAGATTTCATACAAACTAATTTCTTCCGATTAAAAGTGAATCATAATAATTATATTTTACTTTTATGGATTTTATGTGTTTTAAACTAATTAAAATTGTGCCAAACAATTGTGTGAATTTTTCTTTTGAATAATTACTATTTTTAAAACAAATACTCAAATAACTATGATTTCAAATAAATTATTAAATTAGTTAGTTAGGTTTCCAAAAAAAATATATAAATGGAAGCACTAATGTTTGTGGCGCATGCATTACTGACGTAGGTATTACTTATGTATAATACGGTGAGAGAATTGACTTGGATATTTTGTGTTTTATCGCAATTGTTGCGAATAGTAAAAGTTATCATCGATTTTTTTTACCCAATAAAAAAAAGGTGAAAAGAACAGAAAACCTTTTGAGATTTTTTCTTGAATTCGGGGGGTAGGTTATGAAAAGGGAAGATGTTATCACTTTTTTCATCCATAGTTATCTACGAGCTCTTAGTTGCTAGCTCACTTTGAAATGCTTTCTAAAATGTATTTGTGTTTGTTTGAAAGTATTTTTGAAAAGTGTCTTCGTTTAGGCGAGCTTTGTAATGATTCTCGTCTCTATAAGAATGTGTACAAAGTGTTTACTTTTGAAAATATTTCATAGAAAAGTGTTTGTGTGTTTGAAAGATGTTTTGAGAATGGTTGTGAGCAAGCAACTACGAACATTCTACCTACTCAAAAAGTCTTTGTTTATTTCCTCCTCCTTTAGATATTGATATCTTACCATTGATTGATAAGAAGCCCTATCATTGGATGTGAAGGGATAGACGTGGATCGTCGTACAATCATAGAAGGCAACATTGTAGGATACCTTAACAATTTATCTTAAGGGTCTAAGATCGTTTACCGAAGGCAACATTAAAGGGTCATCGAGGGACTACGATCTTGTATGTTAGACGATGTGATCGATCTAAAAGGGGGGTTGAATAGATCGTTTAAAATAATTTGCTCTTTTTAAAATTATTTTTAGAAAAATATGCGAAAGCTTCCTGGATTCTCCATTCGTCTAAATGATCCTCTATTGAAATGATCGGATATGCTAAACCGTATGGGATATAATGACAAAATAAGAATCAATGTGTTTTACTCAATTGATCAATTACTTATACACTCTCAATAATTACTAATTACTTCCAATGAATTGAATGAGATAAGGATAAGCACAATTAATTATTTTGTGAATTAGTCAACTTGTCAAACACCTTATGAGCAAAACGCTTTAGGTTTGGTTTTACAAAATTGTAGTGGTAAGTTTTCTTAGGTATCAATCAAAAGAATTGTTACCAATGTTTTGAAATGAACTCAACACACTACAATTTCAATAAGTGCAAATTTGAAAAATTAATTTTCGCACAGTTTAGTAAGCAATATAGAAATAAAGAAAAAGTAGAAGAACATGCGATTTGTTAAGGCAGTTCCCCTTGTCGTCCTCGCGTAAGGCACGTCTGCCCCCAATTCTATAATCTAGAATTGAGATATTTGATATTATTGCAAATAATACAAGAGAAGAGATAGTTCATAATACAAACAAACCAATGTTGCTGATGTAATAATCTTCTTCCCTTTCCTTGGTTTGAGCAAAACCAAGTGCCAAATTCTTCGAACAAACCTCCGGTTACCGCTACTTGATTAAGCAAACCCACCGTCTCTTAATCCTTTCACTCGGCTGGTTTCGATTGCAAGCAATTTGACCCCAAATCTATCTTCATAATCCTCTGGTTACCGCTACTTGATTAAGCAAACCCATTGTTTCTTAATCCTTTCACTCGGTTGAATTCAATGAAGCAAAGACTTGTGCAAAAACCCCCGCACCAATAGGAATCTTGGAGGAGAAAATCCCAATGATTTTATTCAAGAACAACCCACAATTTCTCAACCCAAATCTTAATTGAATTCTTGATTTGAACGTTATCACCACAATAATTTTCTTGAATCAACAACCATGATTATGTGTAGATGTTGATTTTTGAGAAGAGAGGATGAAGATGATGAGCACTATGTGTATCTTTCACTAGTTCTTGTTGACTACAATAATGATGCATAATGAATATATATATATATATATATATATATATATATATATATATATATATATATATATATATATATATATATATATATATATATATATATATATATATATATATATATATATATATATATATATATATATATATATATATATATATATATATATATATATATATATATATATATATATATATATATATATATATATATATATATATATATATATATATATATATATATATATGTTACCTAATAGCCAGGATCCACAAACATAGCATAAAATCAATTTAGGTAAGTGAGCGGTCGACGTAACCAGAAGCAGGGGTCGGCGCGAACAACCCGCACCCAGAGGAAAAACTATTTTGAAGTGTAATGCGACAACCGCTTCAGGACTTGCGTCGATGCAAACATCAAATATTTTGATTCTCAGGTTGAGTCTACGGGAAGGGTTGACGCGATACATCAGCAGTAAGAGAGAAATTCATTTTGAAGTGCAGTGTGTCGACCGCTTCAGGGCTTGCATCGATGAAAACTTTGAATGTTTTGAGTTCTAGTTTGAGTTGATCGGAAGGGTCGACCTGACCCATCCAGGGCTTGATTGAAGATAATGAGTAGACCGCACCTATCTTTGAGTCGACGCACAAATTGTATTTTCCCAAAACTACTTGTTTCTGGAGATCTTTATTCCAACAATTTTGTTGCAAGATTGTTCATAGAGCCAACCAAGATAGAGAGAGATTTATAATTGTTTTGACATCATTAAAATACTTATAGAGGGACTTTGCCTTCACATACTCTCCCTTTTTGATGATTTCAAAACAATGCTCAAATATGCTCCCTCTGAGTTTGTGCGTTCCGTTTGCAAGCTATGTATAGTCTTATATGTCCACTTCTCCCCCTTTGACAATATCAAAAAGAGATAAAGCACAAGGTCAAAAATAACAAAATATATTAAATGCAACATCATTTTCCATTTGCAACAAAAAACACCAACAATCATTCACATAAAATGAAATTAGTGCGGATCATAAAATGCAATAATTAGACAAATGTATGTAGAATATTACAAACTAGTTCATAAGAATAATTGTATGAGGTTATCAAAAGAAAGTTAACATAAGAACTTAAGCAGAATTACATAAACATGAATCAATTTTCTAGGTTGTCGGTACTATTGTTTTCTGGAGCATTAGGTGGAAGGTTTGGAAAATGCCGAAGGAAGGTGGAATAAAGAGAGACAAGGATCTCAGTTTGTGATTGAAGCATGCCTTCCAACGTGGAGTTTCCCTGATCTTGAATATTTGAATATTTTGAGAACATTTCATTTTGGACTTTGACAAGGTTGTAGATGTTTGAAATCCTCTCATTTTGAAGGAGTGCATCTTCCTTTTGTTGGAGCTGCATTCTCTCCAAAAGAGTTATCGCATTGGCATTGTTTTCTTGAGCAGTCGGGACATTCTCATAGATATTTGCTTCATTTTCTTCTTCCTCAAACTCTTCTTCTTCTTCATTATCATCCTCTTCAGCATCACTATTTTGGAATGAAACGGATGTACTTCTCACAAATAACAGTATTTTTGTTCCTTGTGATCCCATTGGAAGCCCGTCAAGGTAAGTGATTTCTTTATGAATTCAAGATCAGAGGTCATACCAACATAAGGAATTCCTGTAATTTTAATCTTTTCTCGATTGATAACTCTTTGAAGGAAAGAGGGATAGCATAGTGCGGTGCCTCTTCCAGAGTTATGCAGATCAAACATGCGGCTAGCAAAATAGTGTGGCCAATGAACCTTTATTTTATGTTTTAAAACATATGGTAGTTGAACCTCAGGTTTATCCACTCGAGAAAGACCACCCTTCTTGGGTCGAATGATATGGCAAACGATCCAAAAGAGGATTCAGTCAAATGGGGCTAGGGCACCAGTTGTTACGGATCTTGGAAATAAATCACTGTTAACTATTTTGTCACTGTAGGGTTTCTTCAGCATGGAGTTTAAGGCCGACTTGAATTCATAATTGGGAGCAAGAACAATATCAGAGTTTTTAATAGCATCATAATTACCTGGCCACATACCAAATAGGTCTTTCCAAATATGCGAGCTAACCATATAATATTTTTTGTTCATTCTGTATTTAAATTCAAAACCCTCAAACTTTCCTTGCATGCCAGCATAGAACATTTTGACTAAATCCTCATTATATGGTGTATCACATTCAAGAAATAAGGGGAAGTTCTGAAATCAAAAGTGTCAGCAAAAGTACCAGCATTGTCATCAGAAAGAAGTGAAAGAGCAGTTATCGGATTATCCGACGGAACATTGGAGGAGCTTCCTCTGAAGGTTCTCTTCTTAGCTACTCTTGAATCCATTAGGGTAATTTCTTGAAAAATACGGGTATGTGAGGTATGTTTAGTTTTGAGAGAGATGGGTGTTGAGAGTTTTTAGGGTTTTGTGATAATAAAGTGAATAAAGAAAACAAAATAGCAAAATGATAAAGAAATAGAATGCAGAATTTATTCGCGATGCGTCGACTGCTCATAGAGCGTTGCGTTGACACAAGAATTATTTTAATTGATGTTGAGTGAACTATAAAGTATACGTCGACGCATGTAAGCTATGAGTCGACTCAAAAGTAAAGAATTTTGTTTTTATGCATCTTTTTCAATTGA